TACATATATATAACTTATATATCTATATAATAGAGTAGAGCTGAGTTTGAATCCAGAGACAAAGAGAGGTCCAGATCGTTTTGAGACAAAACATAAACACATCTAACAGACAACGTAATCCCAATATAAAAGACGGTTCAAATCATCTCATAAATACTGATCTGACGATCATAATTGGGTTTAACTATAACACTCTCATGTCTCATATAACACACACACTCTCTCTCTTATCTCTTAGACGTTTTAAACACATTATCTTATATCCTCTCTCTCTCTCTCTCTCTATATATATATATATATAATAATAATAATAAAGTAGCTAGATTTTTTTATCTTTAATTTTTCATGGCTCAGATCTTTTGACGAGTATTAATCTGACAGTCCTCATGCCAAAATTTTTTAAGACTCCTGTCTCTTATTTAACTTTCTTTCTCTCTTTCTCATCTATACTAATAAGATAGAGGTAATTTCAAATTTTCCAAATTGAAAATCAATCTTCTCAATTAATTAATGATTTTAATTAATAATTAATGGATTTTAAATAATGATTTTTTTGTATTATAAAGTACATTTAGGCATGACAACTAACTAGGAGGCACAATATATTAATTTTACAGGTTATTTGGCTTCTACAGGATGAGTGAATGTATTTAATTATTGATATTAGCCTCAATTTAATGTTAGTTTAGTTTATAATTTGTATCTTATTCATTTTGTATTAGATATTTTGGATTATTAAATTACAGCAGTTGATAAACAATGATAATAGCGATATTAATGTAACGTGACAAGATTATTGATTTAAGGTAGTGTTTATTTACAGAAAAGTTTGATTATGAGTTGCACATACCGGTTGATATTGTCAATTAAATCATGTTTTCAAGGAGAACTATATCAAATTTTTTTTTAAGATAAAAGTTAGTTTATATTAACTACTAAGATTTTATGTGTTAAACAAATTATTTTGGTTTGATATTCATGTATATAGTCATAGTTATATGTAATATATTGTTGAACATGTAATTTTATGTGTTACACAAATTATTTTGATTTGGTATGCCTTTTAATTAACACAAATTTTTTTTTATTATTCTGTGCCTTCAGGCATGAGCAATTACTAATAGATAGATACGAGAGAGGGAAAAGAAAAAATCTTAATGTTAGTCAAACTCCTAACATATATATGGATATGATAGATATGAGAGAAAAAAGATTTTAATGTTAATCAAACTCCTAATATTTATGAGTTTTTAATTTTTAATTTTATTTTACTTCTAAAGTGAAGGGATAATACGGTAAAATTGACAAAAAACGGACTTCATAACAAGTAAGTGTCATTGACAAACTTAAGTCCAAACAAATCCATGTAAGGGGACCAGTCTCCAAATTTTCCTTTTATTTTTAGGGTAAACTGTAAGGGGGTACATCAAATTAGACTTATTTGACAAAAAGTACACACTAAAAAGTATAGGATTATTAAGTACTTAATTTTGATACTTATTTGTATCCAAGTACATAATTTGAATTTATCTATTTTTACTGTGATATTTTTGCGCTCCATTAATCCATGTGTATTTAATGCACCACTTTTCTTTGGAAAGTGGTGCATTAAACATTTTCTAGTTTTATAGGAGAATTTTAATACACACACACACACACACACACACATATATATATAAATATGTATTTATGTATACACGTTTTTATATATACATAAATACATATTTTTATATATATTTATATACACATAAATATTTATGTATGTATGTATGTATATACTTGTTGTTAAATCTCTTATCAAAATTTTGAATTATCTTTTAATGTACCTTGATTCATGCATTTTTTTTTTAGAAAGTGATTTTATTTTCAAATTAATTTAATATTCGAATAGTGTAATAGTGCAATAATAACAGTGTAACAATAAAAGTGTAACAGTGTCATAATAACAATGTAATAATAAAAATGTAACAATGTAACACTAAGAATGTAACAGTATAACAATAATAGTGTAACAAGTTATTTACACAAAATATTGTTTCATATAATTTCATTTAAAATAGTTCATCTCCGTTTTGAATTTGTTACCATATGCACAAAACTACTGAACACTGTTTTTGTTACAGTGTATGTGTTACACTGTTTTTGTTACAGTGTATTTGTTATACTATTATTATTACATTGTTATTGTTATACTATTACATTATTCGAATATTAAATTAATTTAAAAATAAAACTATTTTCTAAAAAAAAAAAACGCTTGAATCAAGGTGCATTAAATATAATTTAAAAACAAAATTACTTTTCAAAAATAAATACACATGAATCAATGTATATTAAAGATAATTCAAAATTTAAATCATATATATATATGTGTGTGTGTGTGTGTGTGTATAAATAAATATATATATTCGTATACACACACATACACATTTACATATATATATATATATATACATGTATTTACAAATATACATGAATTAAGGTGCATTAAATACGTATTTATATGTATTAACAAACACACATAAATCAAGGTGTATTAAAGATAAGAGATTTTGGATTAATGACTCTAAAATAAGCATTTATGTCTTTTTAACTTACATTTTATTCTATGTACTTTTTGTCAAATAAGTTTAATAAGGTGTACCGACTTCCAAAGAAATATTTATTTTTAACTTTTGAATCTGGGCTAAGTATATCCGAATTAATAGGTGTATAATTTGGGTTGTACACTCTGTTAGGCCCAAATAGTTACTCTAATTTTGTGGCTTTGATCGTAAGCAACATGGAGCCCTAGCTCTCGAGAGCTAGGGTTTGGTGGTTCGACGATGAATAACCGATCCTATCTCTCTCCAAAATTAGTTCTATTTCATTCAAATTTATTTATCAATTCAATTCAGATTGTGTAATTGGAAGGAATTTTAATGGATTCTTCTAAGAGTTCATTCCAAGTTTCTCCCGAGACAAAGAAATTCTTATGTGAAAGATTGTTGGACCAAAAGCAACCAATTTCGGAGCGTTTTAGAGCACTATTCTCTCTCCACAATCTCTAAGGCCCCATTCCTCGCAATGCGCTCATTCTCGGTATACTCTTTCTGTCACACACATGCATTTAGACATTTGTGTATTTATGTTGTGATTTCAATGCATTTTGAAGCTAAACACTGCCACAGAGAAGGAACTTCCATGAATATGGTTTTCTCTCAATACTCAAACAACCTAAGATGTTTAGGCCTGTGAAGCACATATACTAATACGAGATACGAGTACGATATGATATGGATATGACGATACGACAAAGTTTAAAAAAAGAGAATACAAATACGGCTAAGATACAGATATAATAAAATTTATTTAACATTTTTATTATTTTCAATCAACTTAATATTGGTAAATTTTGGTACTTCTTTAACATATAATAAGGAAAATTAATAATTTTTTTTAGTTTCAAGAAAATATATATTGTGTCGCTGTGGTATATCCACAAAATAAAGAGACTAATTAAAGGAATCAGAACTAATATTTACGTAGTATTTAGAAGTAATTTTTGCTAAGATTATAATGTAATAGTTTTATTTTATGCTCTTTTGACATGTAATTGTAGATAGTAATTAAAAAACACTCATGCGTCTTTGAAGTAATATGAATTTTTTGTTAATGTATTGTATGGTATGTGAATTCGAAAAAAGGTGTTAAAAGTTCAACTAAAAAATTATATATGTCGCTCGCTCGCCTACAAAAGTATCCGTGAAGTATCATAATATTTAATTATTAGAAAGTGTATCAAATACGTATTTTCGGGGATCTGATGAATATCATATCTGATACAGGTACGTTAACCTCAATGAAGTATTAGTGATCCGTTGTTTAGGCCTGGTCCGCTAAGTCGTCCTTTTTGATTTTTGTTGATTTTCATCTATATGTTGTTTTTGCAACTTTTTTGGGTCCACAGGTACATCCAATTCTAGCTGGTCCATGAACTCGTGATTATCAAATCATTATATTAAACATTGTTTCTGAGAATGGTTATGTTTTCTTTTTGAATTTCGTCTGTTATGTGTAATATGAGTTGCTTTTTTGTAAAAATAACTTCAAATGTTTTAGGTAAACATCTCCCATCCAATTACATCAATATCTTTTTGATGTTATCATAATTTTTGGTATTTTCTTGCTCACTGGTAGCGTTATATGTAAGGGAACCTAATACCATTTGCATTTTAATCTAGGACTCCAACTACTAGAATGACCACCCCACCCCACCCCCCTAGTCGATTAAAAATCCCATTTTGACGACATATATCATATTCCGTTGACTTTCAGCTCTTAATTTCTCATCTAGTGTCAAAACCTTGCTTCATTTATTTTTTTTACAGGTTAATTGCACTGGAAGTCTCAAAGTATGAGGTTTGTTTCATTTTGATCTTCAATATTTCAATTGCATCATTTTAGTTCCTGAAATATTGAATATATTTTTATGTCGTCCTTCAAACAGATAACGATTTTTTATTATAAACTTCTCACGAAATGCCTTGACAAAAAAATAATTTGGATAACTCTTGATCAAATTTCTATCTAAATTTGGGTAGAAGAGCTATCCAGCTATTTATATTACATATTTTTTTGTTAAGAGTTATCTAAATTATTTTTTATTCATATTTAAATATCACGTGACAAGTTAAATATTATAAACAGCAAGTAATTTGGATGTTGTCTATATAAAGGACCACATAGAAGTATATTCAATACTTAAAGATCAAAATAATGTAATTAAAATATTAGAGACCAAAATGAAACAAATTTTATATTTTGGAGGTCTATAGTACAATTAACCCTTTTTTTTTTACCGTTCATGTTATGAACTTTTTAAAAATTTTCCAATTAAGATTTTTCAAATAGTGTCGTCAACAATATTTTGTATCAATGGTGATGTTGATTCCCCTCTTGCGGCAATAAGGGATTCTTCAAATCTGCTGGCACATGAGGCTACATTTGCATTGGGTCAAATGCAAGATCTGGATGCTATCCCCACTCTAGAATTTGTTCTTAATGACCTTTCTCTGCATCCCATTGTTCGCCATGAGGTCTCATGTTCTTAGCTTCTTATTGTCTTAAAAATATATTGTTATTTTGCTTTCTTTGATAATTCTTTCTGATTTTTGTCTCCTCTCGAATGTGCAGGCCGCAGAAGCCCTTGGTGCAATTGGTGTGGAGAGTAATGTTCCCCTTTTAAAGAGCAGTTTGGTTTTAGATCCAGCTCAGGAGGTCCGAGAAACATGTGAATTGGCTCTTAGTCGAATTGAAGAACTGAAGAATGATGGAAGAAGTGATGATTCATCACCCTTTTTGTCGGTTGATCCACAGCTGCAGCTGCTTCTTGTTACTCTGTTTATGAGCTCAGGTTTGTTCTCTGGGTATAATTTTAGGTCAACTTTACAAGCTTTACAAAATTGGTTTTATTGCTCAGTGACTGATTTTCACCTGTTTTTAGGGAAGTACTCTTGGACGACGCAAAGAGCATGTATGGGCGGTATGCAGCTCTTTTTGCACTTCGAAACAATGGGGGAGATGAAGCTGTCTCTGCTATTGTCAAATCTTTAGGTGCAAAAAGTGCTCTTCTGAGACATGAGGTCAGTTGTAATCATTTCAATTGTCTGCTGATTTATATATTATGTAGATCAGCTCAATAAGAGTGGATACTGGGCAAGACTTACTCGATTTCAGGTTGCCAATTTGTATATGTATCTCTAGCATCTCAATTTCTACGATAAATTGTAAACTACTATTGGGGGCAATCTCTCAGTGACATACATCACTAGCATCCATTGGTCCTGTGGCCTAAAAAATTTGTTGGCATAACTGACATAGTGTATTAGACATATTAAATGGTAGGGAAAGCATGTATGACTTAAGTCTTTTGGCCCCAGATGCGATAATGGCCAGGAGGGTTATGAATTTTACCTGCAGAGGCTACCATTGTTGTTGCATCTCTATTTGTAGATACGTTTTGTTCTAGGGTTTAGTTTTTTAAGTAGTCCTATTTATCATTCATAAAGTTTAAGCATTGTATAATGGATTGATAACCAAAGTCACTTCATCTGTATGATGCTGTGGTGGCAGATGTTTACATTCTCATTGCTTCCGTATTATTTAAAGGAAATGGCAAAAAGTTTTTGGCCTCACTAATAACGTATAGATGTGATTTAAATTTTTTATGCATACAACTAATATTCATAATGAATCACCTATTAGGCATGGCACATGAAACCCTAAATTACGTCCACGGATGCAAATTTAGTGTTTTATGGTAGTCATGTTGAAAAGCTTTGCATTATCTAACTGTGCCATACTTTTTTTCCATGAATTCTTCCATAATCAAAAACATCAAAATCAGCTGGTGTGTATTGTGATGGGAAGTGAAACCTGTTTGGAGAAATAAGAACTTCACACAGTTAGATAATCGAGCACAGGTGTATGAATTCTTCCCATGTGATGATAGCCAATAATCATTTCAGATAATTGCTAAATGCACAAAATGACCTCTTTACCCATCCATATTTATGGTGTTTGTACAATCAGGGTCACAATTGCTGCCTATATGACATTTTAATGCGTTGGTTATTGAAATGTGTTTCTTCAAGGGCTATCGATTCCTAATCTGATATGCCTTTGATGGCTCTGTTTTTTCCAACCACATCTAAATGTGATTTTGTTGGACTGACTTTGCAGGTTGCTTACGTCTTGCGCCAATTGCAAAACAAAACTGCTTCAAATGCACTTTCTGGGATACTCAGGGATGTGAATGAGCATCCAATGGTCAGACATGAAGCAGCTGAAGCTCTTGGTTCAATTGCAGGTTTGACAATTCTTATGTACTTGATGCATTTTTTGATCTTTTTTAGTATGGCTGACTGAAAATAATAGTGGTTCACCATGAGGTTAGTGTCTATGCAATCCCATGTATTCTTAATCAACTAAAATGTTGCGAGGAAAGAAAGAATCATAAACTGTGGTTAAATAAGACATAATTCTAGTAGTAAATATATGATGACTGTATTAGAAAAGTTCTTCGCTGGCTGGGGATAATGTTATTGAGCTAAAGTAACATGATGTTTACTGCAGATAAGTTGTCCTTGAATTAGATGATTTTATCAGAATGAAATCCATAACCTCCAAAATGGAAACTATTCCTTTGCATTTTTGTGGGATTATCTAGTTGGCCCTGAAGCTTGTACAGGCAGTGTTTTCATTGTCATCTGAACTAATAAGCCTTCCATCATCACCCTTAAACCTATTTTTGCATTCATATATTTATTGTTCTGGATTATGTATGTATCTTTTAAACTCCAACCGTCTTAATTCTTGTTTTTTTTTTCCTAATAAGCTTTGTCATGTTACTTTTGTAGATGATCAATGCATAGCACTTCTCGAGGAATTTGCAAAGGATCCTGTGCGGCTTGTCTCTCAGAGCTGTGAAGTTGCTCTCAACATGCTAGAATTTGAGAGATCTGGCAAATCATTTGAGGTCATTTAAGAGAACCAAAAACATATTTTATGGATGGATGGCTTAACAACTGCCTTCTCTGCAGTACCTCTTCATGCGGACACCTCAAAGGCAGCAAGCCTTATGCTAGATCTTCGTCTGCATTTATCTGGTTCTTCCGTGTGCCAAGTCTCTGAAGCACCAACATGTTCTACAAAAGTACGGGCGGGATGCCTCTTATATGTTTTGCAGTAAGTCTAGTGACTCCCAACATAAACATAAAACAGGAAAAGGTTGAGCTTCATAATCCTTTTATTATTAGTCTGAACAATTTTCGAGTGGCATTTTTGTGTTGTACCTTACAGGACTGGTCCGTTGTAGAACCTGAAGATAAAAGGTTCTAGTGCAGTGGACGTGGTCAAGGCCCTTTTATTTTGCGTTCATGAACAGAGTATGTATATAATTCATTGGCAGCTGTACATCTAGTCATTAGATCCTTGGGTTATTTTGAAAACTAATCTGATGGATTTTTTCGCAGACAGGGGATGATGGTGTTGATTTTAAGCTTTAATTGTATAAGATCGTTAAATTGATTGCATCTGTGCCATGTTCGTCGGATCATTGATGCAGTTGGTTGAGACTCCTATAATGTTGGTTGTGTCATGGTTAAGTGGATAAGAAAATATGTCTGTATGCGCAATGGTGGTGTTTGGAGGGCCGAGAACGAAGATATTTATGCTGTGGTGACACTGAGGAAAGAACGATAAAATGGGAATTGCCTTTTTGTTGCAAAGTGCCATTTTCCTTTGTTAAGCTGACGAGATCTCCCATGCTATTGTGTGTGCCTTTTTTCCTTTTTTTTTTTTTTTTTGTATGATGTATGCCCAGTTAGATCTTTTGGACGCGACTGGTCTTGAATCGTTTGCTCTCTCCCTCTCTGCGTAAACCCCCAACAAACCCCCCCCCCCCCCCCCCCCCGCCGATGGCCGACACACACAAGATCATTGCAAATAAGAACTTGTTCCCAAGCACTCTTTTGCAAGTCAGTTAAGCCTCTTTTTGGATAATTGTAAACCGTCAGCCATATATCCTTTAAACTCGTAACTAATTATAAAGACGGGATGAACGTGGTCTTTCAAGATTCGAACCAAAAATCTCAAGTTAGGGAAATAAATGGAGCATTTAATACCAGGGAGTGTCACAAGTTGCTTAACCGAGCAATAACGTTACCCTTAAAAGCTGACTGAACACTGATTTCATGACCATTTGATGACTCAATTTCCAAGAATCAAACTTGTAAAAACAAAGCAAAGGAGTCTTCTTTTTTCTTCACCAAGCTCCAAAGTCAATCAGTCATAAAGTGACTTTCCAGCATAATATCCCATTAACTTATTTCCTATTCCAGTTATTAGAATGAATACCCTTAAATTTTATGAACAAAACCTACCTACTTTATTAAGGGCATATGACGTGTCAAATCAATCTTTTAATTAAAGGGTTTTCATGTTATTTCAATTCTAATCCACTGTGTTAGTGCTTCATCACGTAATAAAATTAGAGGTGCTCAAAACAAATGCTGTTAATTTTAAATAATTATTAAACATAACTGACACGTGTCAGTTAAAAACAATTTCCAGAAAGCAACAAAGAGCTGTAGTTCCCAGGTGGGGCGTTCGGCGGAAAACAATACTTTATAAGAACATTGAACTCAAAGTCTTTGAACCACAGTATGAGAGACTTAAAAAACACTCATATAAACTGGTCTAAAGCCACATTAAAGAACCATACCCATTCTACATAAGCCATTAATAAATGTTCCCTTAGAACCCACACACAGACCTTCCATGTCCCCCCATTCTCACCCTTTATAAGGTCCTACCCTTTGTGTCCCTCAACACCCACTGGCCCTCCAACCAACAAGATTCAAGACAAGTCCTTCATTTGCACCATTTCCTAGTGTGCTCGTGGGCCTAAATCTCTCTCTCTCTCTCCTCAATATGGCAAGTGGGACTGGTTCTCCTTGTGGTGCATGCAAGTTTCTCCGGCGAAAGTGTGCAACGGATTGTATATTTGCGCCATATTTTTGCTCGGAACAAGGGCCGGCTATATTCGCTGCGATTCATAAGGTGTTTGGAGCTAGTAACGTTTCCAAGTTATTACTTCATGTCCCCGTGGCTGATCGCTGTGAGGCGGTTGTGACTATTGGTTATGAAGCTCAAGCAAGGATCAGAGATCCAGTTTATGGCTGCGTCGCTCATATCTTCGCCTTGCAACAGCAGGTCGTTAAATTTCATAGAATTAAAAACATTTCCTTCTGCGTTCAAAAACACAAAAAAACCCATTTTCTTCTTCTTCCTCTCTCCCTGGTTTGGGATATCTGTACATTTCACTTTCTTAGGATGAATAATTTGTATGACTAATAATCAAGCCAAGTTTTGTGAGATCGAATTGAGATTACTGAAACGAAATTAAAATATTGTTTAAACTCAACTTATTTAAAACATGAACTGAGTTTGAGTTGAATTTTATATAAATTAAACCGGAGTAGTTCGAGTCGATTATGAACTCTAATTAGCCTGGACTCTGGAGGGCCATAACTGCTCGTAAGTTGTAACCTATTCTTATCTATATATGACAAAGCCACACATACTCATTATCGAATAAATCGCCTCCACCACAAATTGGTACCGTTTGATTATTTTTAATTTTTTTGTTTGCTTCCTTCAATTAATCGCATGTATAGTAACACATCTATGCACTAATATAAGAAGTTTATAATATATAATAAGATGCATGTACTGGTAATGGTGTTTTGCCTATATATGCTATAGATACAAATGAAGTGCTAATGAGACTCTTTGTTTTATATTCTAAAGGTGGCATACTTGCAAGCCCAGCTGATGCAACTGAAGGCTCAACTGGCACAAAATCTTATTGATTCATCAAGGAATAATCCAGAGAATCAATGGCCTGCAGGAAATATAATGGCCGGAATGGCATCGTTTCCGGCTTACCTGAACTCTATATCACCCCAGAGCTCAGTCGAGTCCATTGAACACAACAATGAAGGGATGGGTGTGCAAGAGATTCAAATCAGAGATGAGCTCTCTTTCCAACCTTACTCTAAGAGGAGACCTTCACAAACTGACTTGGGTGAGCTTCAAGCACTGGCTCTTCGAATGATGAGGAACTAATTAAACTCACCATGTTTCTTACAAGATTATGTTGTTTGATGATGATCCAAAAGCCTTAAATCACGTACATACAGAGACGAGAAAACATCGTAGTTCTATAAGCCCCGACGTCTGCATTTTTGCCTTCTATCAGCAAATTAATTACAACAATATTTGGACTGTGTTCTCTCTCTCTCTTTCTCTCTCTCTTGTGTGATACTATTTTACATTATCAGGTTTCTATTATTGTAGTTACACTAATGAGTAATGTTGAATGAACTTAAAAATTACATTTGATAATCTCAATTATTGAATAGGTACTGAGTCTCAATAAATGCTGGGACCTACAGTGAAATCAATGATTAAAATTATTAATTATAATTTTTAAATCTACTTTTTAAGTATACGTAACATTACTCATGAAAAGATTACTCTATTTGACATTTTGAAAGGTGCATTGGAATTGGGTTCATCTTGATTGTCATTAAAATTTCGTCTATTTCATAGAATATGTAGCATTCGCATATTAAAATATTGTTACAAGATATGCATTATTGAGGTTTGAACCCTCTGATGGCGCTTCCTTAAGAGAAAGTGGATATAATTAAAAAAACAAGCATGCTTAATGGGGTTCTAGAAGACATTCCAAGATGAAGCCTTTTTAACAGTTTCTCGAGTAATGCTTTTTGAATTAATTCGTTGGTATAATGTTCTGACCTAAATATTTACTATTATCGGATTGATTGTAAATTTTAATATTAGTTGGAAATAACCGTCAATTTAAGAATAATTATAGATTAGTTCCGATAATTAGATCACCAAATTAAATTCATATAGTACTTATTGTCGTTTACCAAGATGATTAATGACAAATGTGTAATTAGGGATGTCAATGGACCGAAGCGGGGGCGGGGAGTATAGTCTTCATCCCTGTAACTGCTTAAAAAACATTCATCCATCCCCGGTTCAGCCCCGCTAACGAGTATAATTTTCATTCTCATCCTTGTCCGCGTGTAAATTTATAATTTTCGTCCCCGTCCCCGCTTCTCCCATACCCGCCCAAGTCCAAGCCCAAGCCCAAGCCTAAGCTTAAGTCCGAGTTCAAGCCAACATAATCTAAAATTCTAAATAAATTCAACATTTTAAATAATCTAACAATATTTTAAATAATGTAACATAATCTAAAACAACATAATGTAGCATAACATATTCGAACATAACACAAACAACAAATGTCCAAAATACTACTTAAATTTGATATAATTCAACATTACACAATTAACATAACGAGTGGTAGAATCATCTCAATCAACTCAATCATCTCTTAACACTAGCTTCACACCAACTCAATCATCAATTGACACCATCGGTGGTGGTAGAATCTACTTCTTCAACATCATTTTCTTATATCATTAAAAGAAAAAAAAATTAGATTCTTCCAAAAAAAAAAAATTTCAACTAAAACGATATACCTCATCATTAATATCAACATCCTTCAATAATGTGTAGCTCTTCAAGCTCGTCGAAGTAGATGAACCTAACCAAAAAAAAAAATAATAATGCATTAGTCATACTTTACCCACAAAAAAAAACAGAAAATTATGATGCACATACAAATAATATGTCATTTACCTTGTTCGTTAGCATATAGCCAACTTTGAGAGCATATTAAAGCCTCTACTGTAGTCGAAAGAAGTCTATTGCGATGTGGTCTGATCACCCTCCCACTTGTGCTAAAAACAGATTCTGAGACCACGGTAGAAACAGGAATATCAAAAAGATCTTTACATTTGAAGCAAAGGATACTTGGGACCACTTGTCTTCCAAAAAGATAGAATATCAAAATCTGAACTTCTTGGCATCATACCATCTTCTACG